TTGTGATTTGGTTCAACTCATTTTTCAATGTTATCAACTTCCCTAATACTCGCACTGACTGCATGGTGCGCTGTTGCAACATGCCTTACAGCCAAACATACTACCTGCCTTACAAATCTCTGTACAACGTTCCTTTATAATTCTTTCCGCGTATGTGTGTGTGTCTATTTGTGTCTCAACGTATTTTCCTTCACTTTTTTTTATTACTTCTTTTATGGCTTTTTCCTTCGTGTTGTTGCACTCGTTTTTTATGTTTGTTGCTTGCAACTTGTCATCGTATATGGAGCGCGTATGTATGCATATCTACATGGATATATGTATGTGTCTGCCACCGTTTGCTTTGGTAGTTGCTTGTCTTACTCCTCCTCTTCTTCGCCGCTCTCCACCATTTACTGTTTACTGCATCGCCCAACGGAAATGTTCTCGATGACGCTAAANAATGTGTCTGCCACCGTTTGCTTTGGTAGTTTCTTGTCTTACTCTTCTTCTTCTTCGCCGCTCTCCTCTATTTACTGTTTACTGCATCGCCCAACGGAAATGTTCTCGATGACGCTAAAATGTATGAAATTAATCTTTCTACATGGGAACCGCTGCGGTGCATTCCGATCGTCGTTCTGGTCTAGTTGTTGGCAAATGTGCTCCCACCGCTCTGACAAATGTTGCGCGAATGTGGCAAAAAAAGGCATGCAAATGCCAAGAAAGTGCTTCGAAGCGCAAAACAAATTTCCTTAGCATACTTTGGCGTTGAAGTGGCGAAGAAAGGTGATGGAAATCAATTGCAGTATAGAGAATTTGCCAATATATTGAAGCTTTTAATATTTTGCAGTAATCGAAAGCGCATTTCATGTGACCAAGAAAATCGCTGAAAACCTTTATTTTATGCCCATTGTGAATATTACACCTTAACTGCTAAGTGCAGATATAGAAGTTCTCCAGAAGATTTACAATGCAATATTGGTACCAAATCTCGGATATAGTTCGCAAACCCGCCTATAGGCTGACTTGAAGCAATCCGATCTATATGATCCAATGATAACGTAGTGTGCTTTTGGGTCAAACGACAGCTTGATTTGTTTTCCGATTTGTTGAGAGACCATATTTTAGTATACCGGCCATTTAATTTTTGTTGGTTTTTATTTTAGCATATTTCGAGGGACTCTACAATAATAAAATGTGCTATTGCAGATAACTGTAGAATTTTGAAAAACCTTCGCGGCCCCTGAAGCCGAGCCATGATAAAAGGGTCCAGTTGGGCTTGTAAATTAGCTAGTTAAAAAGGCTTTCATACCTAAACAAACTCTTTCACTAGGTTAGGTTAGATTAGGATGGCGTGTGTGGAATATTCCATACTTTCACTTGGAGACAGAATTGTCCACTGTGAGTGCCCTCTTTTAGTGAGTATCACGAGGAGAAACGTGCCTATAAAACAGACAGTAGCTTTCAGTCATTATTCTACAGAACCAATTACTAACCCCGATGAAGCCGATGAGATCCAACATTTCCACCGCCGTAAAAGCATTGGAGCTATAGCACAGTGGCCTGTATGTCCGCTGTCTTTTTCGTACTAAGCCGCGGCCATAATAATCGTGTGCTCTCACAGTCTTCTCGTTTGACCACAAGTAATTCTTCACGGGCACGGTGCACTGTAACGTTGGTAGTACGGAGCTATCCGCTTCTTCTATTGGCATCTCTGACCCGTATCTGGCCATCTCATCAGCCGACTCCTTCCCCCCAATTTTGCTATGTCCGGGAACCCAGCATATAGTTGATACGGCTCAGTGAACCAGCGTGGTGCGACATTTCCATACAGTTCCCGATTTCACTATTTTAGATCCTATTGCGTTCACTGCTGCCTGACTGTTGACTTTTGGCTTTGTCTACTACTAAGTAAAAGACTAGCTTCCCTCTCTACAGTGTAGATCTCCGCTTGGAAGACACTGCCGTCGTTCGATAGACGAAAGGAGCGGTTGATCTGCAGGTCCTTCGAGTGTCTACCGGCTCTGGTTCCTTGTTTGATTTTTGGACCGTCAGTGTAGATGGAAATAATCCCCTCTGCTACTGTCAGTCCTGCATCCCATTCTTCTCTGGTCGGAAACCTAATTGGTATTTTCGTATTTTGGGGCCCAAACAGGTGTAATGTAATCAGTGCTGGCTTCTATGTCAGATTTAATTCCATTTAGCCGACCCCTTTTTATTTCCTTCAGTATTTCTGCATGCCCGAAATTGGTTGCCTTCCACTTTTTGGCTTCTCAGAGCTCGTTTTTCGAATGAAATATCATGTTGAGCCCTTCCTGAGATGCACTACTACTGCCCCCGATATGCCACCATACCAAGGTTGCAATTAGTCTGATGATTGTGGTGTGCATCCCATAGGTGACGAACGGTGATAGTGCACTCTTTCACTATGTTGACAACATTTTTGTCTGTCTTGCTGAGGCCTCAGAATTCGGAGTTTTCCTTCCCCTGTAAATCAAATCGTATATCACCAGTAAAGTGGTGAACTGAGCATTCTCACTAGAAAAACATTGAGAAGGGACAAACTTTAGGTCTGTCATCGGGAATACTAAGAACATTAGCCCTTTCGTTGCCTTTCAAACCCTTAAAGTTATAAAATTATAGGATGAGAAATCTCTACGAACACTTCCAGCCAACGGGCGGGCTTCGAACAGGTACTGCCTGAAAGTAGAGCTCCGATGGGCTCTTTGCATAACAAAGTGAATGTTTTACCCTCAGAGTTCTAAAGTAAAGTGAGTTTTTGTGAGGATTTTAGGCGTAAGGCTCTATTAAAGTTTCCCACCTAGGTTTAGCTCAAAATAATTAGTGAACGGTATCTACTGCTAGAGAGCTGTCTTACCAGTTAATCGTTATTCCTTGGGATTAGACTCGACTAGTTGATGAACGTTAGAGTAACGATCCTCGATAGAAGACGGCAGGCCTTTAGTCTGCAGCTGGACTCTAATGCCTGCCTCTGATTACTGCAAGCTGCCGAAATAGGCATTCCCTGCACCGAAAATATGTAGTCTTTTGCTCGCGGCTGTTCACTTCGCAAAGTGAAGCTATATCTGTTCTTTTGTCTTCGGACCAAGCAACTGACTTGGCTCCATGTCTTATTCAGATTGCATCTGCTTGCAGTCCGTCACCGCAGTCTCTCAACTTCACAATTAAGGAAAATCAGTTACATTGGCTGCGCTTACAACTTAACAAAAACAAAAACCAATCGACAATAACCACTATCGAGCAACAGCTTGTAACTCAGCCGCGAAATAGGACGGCGGTTGATCGCAAAAACCCAACCAGCGAGCAAGCCGTAACTGATGACAGCGCTATGGCATCCTGAATGCTGCGCACAGCGCCTACTAGGTGGTCACTTAAGGCATTTTCCTCCCTACCCTTCTGCCCCGCCTTAAAGCGCGCCGGCTGTTACACCAAATTTAGCAGTAACAAAACCTGAGCATCCAGACCACTTCGTTGCACTGGCTCACGGCGAGCAGATAATGTTGCTGCTGATGACGATGACGAAGTGGAAATGGAAGTTGTCGCTCCAAACCGAACCGAACTCAAACCATTGCAAAGCATACCAAAAATGGTCAAATTAAACCAGTATTTATGAGCGTCGCAAAGTGGACATTGGAAAGTGGGGCAATTGGCGTGTGGTGTGGTGTGATGCGCGAAGAGGGTGGTTGGCGAGCTATCAAAGCTGCAGTTGAATGGTGCAGAGGGAAGTGGAGCTGGTAGACAGGCGCTCGAGCTGACGCATTGAAATACTTTTCGAAAGTACCGTTAGTTGGTTGAACAGGTTAATAATAAACACGCAGTCAACAGCGCAAGCGCGCGTATAACCGTTACGTAGAATAGCAACAACAAGCGTTGGGTGGCAGACAGGCGAAAAAATCGAATGAAAACAAGTCGTCGCGAAGTAAATGAGTAAGATAAGACAAAGCAAGAAAAACTACAGACATATGGAAGTCCACGTAAATGAAGAAATGGCAACTGAAGTATAACTTAAGCGCAAACATTTTTGGACACTTTGCTGCTAGTACATTTATGGCGAAAGCTCATTAATTGCATTTTTTATGTTGAAAAAAAAGAATTCAGGCTGCAACGGTAATTTGTGTCGTTGATCACACGAATTTTCAAAATAAAAAATTTTAATTTTTATTAATCATATTTTGATAGTTTTATGATATTCAAACAAAGTAAAATATTTATTACATTCAAATTTAAGAATTTTAGACTTTCCTCGTTTTCCAATGAAAAAAAGAAATGTTCTTAAAAAATTTTTTTTTGGGAAAAGTGTTTAAAGAAAATTTTTTGTAATACATCGGATCTTTTTTTAAAGAAAATTTATTATTTTAGAAAACTTGGAAATTTTTTATATTGAAAATTTTTATAATACAAACATTTCTTAAACCAATTATATTTTGGGGAAAAATTTTTTTTTTGAAATACAATTAAAAAAAAAAACATGTAAAAAGATAACCTTTTTTCAAAAAAATACAAGTCCAAGTTTCTTTTTACTGCAAAATCAATTAAAAATATTGCTTTAAAACACTTACCACTCTTGGATTTTAGTTCCTAGACTGCTTAAAATTCTTTCTGGAACCTTATTTTTTTGCATAAATTTTATTTGTAGGTATGTATGTATATTAAATTTTTGCGTTTTGTTATTTGGAAATCTACCCCTTTTATTTTGCTTTTGATTTTTTTCTTTTGTTTTTTAATTCACCCTTAACGCGTTTGGCTACAAATTTGGTTACGCCTGGGGTTTGCGCATGCGTTTCACTGGTTTTTGTTTTTAAGTGCACGTGCACTTGACGGTTTTTTAGCATTTCGCTCAAAATTTCCAGCGTCTCTAGCCAGTTTTCTAAGCCACTTGTGAACAAGATTTTTTCGATTACTTTTCAGGAATCATTATTCATGGCTTGTTTGCTATACTGCCGTCGATTTAACGCCACCGTTTTGCTGGATTATGTCGCCTCTTTTGTTATATAAGTTTTTTTATTTTATTTTTGCAATTGCCGCTGAAAGATTTAATATTCCTATAGGAAATAGAGACAAAGATGAGCGCCTGTAAGCGAATCCGAATTTTCATTCGTTCATTCATTCGCTCTTTAATTGGCTTATTGCCTGTTTTGCTAATGCCTTTTTGCCTAATGTTTGATTTTGTAATTTCAACAAATACTTGTAAGTGATTTTTTTAATTGTTGTTGTTGCTTTTGCTGTTTTAATTGCCCCACGGCAACTGTCAGAGTGACGACTGCCCAAAGTTGTCAACGCTGAGCTGTGATTGTGCGTGCTAACATCTCGATTGTTGTCGTTTTCTTTGTTGTTGTTGTTGTTGTTGTTATTGTCAATTTGTTTATTTGCTTTAATTATCGTTAATTCGTTTATTGCTGGTTTGTGTGCAATTTTGTTGTTGCTTGCAATTGTTTGCTTTTTTGCCGCATTGTTTATCGCTCAAAATTTTAGACTATCAGCTGAATTTTTTTTATTCTATTAAATCATTTTTATTTTTACAAAACGTTTTTGTCATTGGCGTTGCCGGGAAGCTTACGCAATATAAGTTGTTGTTGTAATATGTGTATATACATACTAGGGTGTCCATTATTTACCAAGTTGTTTTTTTTCGATATTATTGTCTAACAAAGAAATTTTAATCTACTCAAAGTTTCAAAGCGCCACACTCGAGTTGATAAAAAAATGAGAATTGTTTTGCAAACAATTGTAATCTAAAATTTGTGCTCAATTGAATTTTGTGATGAGTGAGAGTAAATCTATAGATTAAGAAAAAAAAATAAATATTTTTAGTCGGTGAAGCAGTAAATAAAATTACGGGCAAAAAGTTAGCGACAAATAAAGAAATGCTCCAGTTTTTATTTCATCGGTTAAGAAATCTCAATAAATGAATAAATGACTGCTGCTCAATCGTTATAAAAGAGGTTACAAAAAATTCAATCCACTTTGTATAAAAATTAAAAACAAAACTAAAATAAATGTAATTAAAAATCCTAAACATAAATATTGAGTATATTTTTTAAAAATCCATAAATATGTATGTATGTATGCTTATACATACATGCGTGTATAAAATTAATTATTTTTAATTTACGCAGTTTTAAATGAAAAAATAAAGAAAATTGTTTCTAACTTTTTTCCTGATCCCTTAATTTTAAACTATTCCATAAAACTCCAGAAAAATTATTTTAGAATTTGATTTTTACAAACTTGATTCTCTTGACTAACAAAAATGGTCTGCCTACAATTTCTTCCAAATTTTGTTTTCATAAAAATTTAAATTACCCTTAAAGTATTATTTCCCCGAGTTGCAAGCATTAAAGTTCTTGGTGAAACTTTAATCTAGGATAAGAATTTTTAAATATCGATGTACATATAGGTACTCCTCTGAATTCCATTACTTATAATTTATTCCAAAATTATGTTTTCCATAATAATTTTTTCACTCTTGAAAATACAAACCTTTTTATGAAATCTTATGAAATCTTATTAAATTTTTAATTCTTTAGTTTCTGAAATAGTTTCTTTTTTCAAATGGAGTGTTAAATTTTTCCAAAATATATTTTCTTTCTTGAAAATTTTCAATTCTTTGTAAGACAATAAATTTGCTTAAAATGCTAATTTTAAAATGTAAAGTTTTCGAACATTTTTTTTAACTTAGCTTTCAAACTTTTGTTTCGTCAAAATATTTTTTCTCGAAAAATTTAAATGTTTTTGTTTGTTAACTTATTAGTTTTTTTTAATGAATTTTGAACAACAGTTAGCCCTAAGTAAAACACTTTTTCTTCTTCTCCTTATTTGGCGCTGTAACCGTCTAAGCGATTTTGGCCGAGTTCAACAAAGCACGCCAGTCGTTTATCTTCTGTGCCAACTGACGCCAATTGGAAATGCTAAGTGAAGCCACGTACTTCGCCACCTGGTCTTTACATCGCAGTGGGGGCCTCCCTTATCCTCCGCTACCACCAGCGGGTTCCGAGTTGAATACTTTCAGAGCTGGAGCGTTGGAGTCCATTCAAACGACATGGCCTTGGAGCTGGCTTGCTTAGCCGCTGTATTTAAATTCGCTGTACTATGTCCATGTCGTGTTAAAGCTCAACGTTCCAACGTCTGCGGCACCCGCCATCGCCACGTGAAGGTCCGTAAATCTTCCGCAAAATCTTTCGCTCGAATACTGTACGAGCCGCCTTATCGGACTTTTTTAATAGGTGAATTTTAAAGAAGGAAGACGACCGCTCTGGCCGAGTGCGTACAAACTACGACTCACCCCGAAAAGCAATTTAGAAAATAGCTTATATGTAAAAGCGATCACCCCTCGGCAGAAAAAGCTGCTCATACAATTAATTTGCCGTTCGGAAAGTGTATAAGATTGTAACCTTCTATTGGTGTAACAATATCAAAACGCACATCACGAATTCGGGGAGTTTCATCATTACACGGAGATAACACTATGGATGTGATATCCGAAAAAAAATGTATAATAGTGTCCTATCCATAAATTATGGATAACATATCTATTTTTATTAAGCGCTTATTAAATTTTATTTGTATACAATCAAACAATGCGGATATCACATCCATTGTTAATGTTATCTTATCCATAATTAATTGATAGGACGAGAATATCAACTTTTATGGATTTCACATCAATAGTGTTTTCTCAAATGGTGTTTATAATATTTCCAAAATATTTTTGTCTAACTTTTTTTTTTGATAGAAACTGAGTAGTTTTTCCTATGGATTTTTTTTGTAATTAAAAATTATATGTCTTCAAAAGTTAATATGTATTTGTAAACTTAATAAAATGATTTTATAGCCATACTTAATTTAGATACAAATTTAAAAAAATGTTAAAATATTTTTATGTATACACATGCATAGCTAAAATTCAAATTGTTTTGTTCCTACAAATAATTACAAAACAAGTAAGAAAGTCTAAGTTCGGGCGGAGCCGAACATTAAATACCCGGCGCAACTATTAAATATATGTTTTCCACCTTTCCGAAAGCTACCGCTACATGATAAGCCGGGGTGTATAAATTTTAAGTAAGTTATATGAAAAGCGGCCGTAAGTTTAGTCCGATTTCCACAATTTTCAACGGTTTGCTTTTATGTGGCAAGCACAATAACCATATTGTGTTTGGTTCAAATTGCTAGAACGGTTAGCGAGATACATATATATGATCATAAGTGGGCGGTGCCACGCCCATTTTCCAAAATTGTATCATAAGCGTATTTCTTGGTAAAAAATTGTTGCAACCATCAATTTTGAATAAATTAGCTTTAATATTTACTGATTTATCGAGGATTTCGTATTTTTCTAAATTACCGTTATATGGGATGTGGGCGTGGTTATTGTCCGATTTT